GCTTAAGGGCAATTGTCATCTGTTTTGTTTGATCTCATCTGTTGACATTTATTATAACTGGGGATGTCAAACAACTAATTTTTAAATGTAATTAAACATAGGCTGTGAATTAATCAAAATTGATCACTATTTCCAAAAATGACTGAAAAAATACCAAATAAAACAAAAGTAAATGAATGCCATCCTCCTTGTGATGATGCCCTGGGCAACTGCCATAAAGTCACATCAAGAAGTGCTGCTGATCATTCCAATGATCCCAAATAGACTCGCATTAGGCCACATGAAAGCAACTGAACCCAAAAATATATTAACCAGTATATAACTGCACTCTCACACAACACGCCTGCAGCAACAGTTAGGACTCCTCCCTCCCTTTTAAAAGCGTTTTTGCTTCTGAGGACATTGTGGTTGTAAAACCACATGCTAGTAGTCTGGCCCCGGTGTGATCAACCAGTTTTTGCGGGAATGTGACGGCGGAACCAGGGCCAGATTAACACTTTGTCGTACCCTAGGCAACAATATTCAAGGGCTCCATCATCACGACCCGAGGATCACCATAATGTGGTCACATACAGAATATATTACTGTAATATGCAGTAAATATACTCAATACTTGAATGCCTGACAACACGTAACCCGCCCAGAGTAACCTTTGACCCACCTCGTGTGGACTGACCAATGAGGAGAGGGTCTTAACTTGAGGCCCTCTCTTCATTGGTCAGTCTGCATGAGACTGACTCTCAACTGACGTTCAGTCATAGGCAGCGAAGCGTCTCTGTGCAGCGCAAAAGCCCGGGTGGACAGTTTGTTTAATATAGGGTGACCATATTTCCATTTCCAAACAAGAGGACAGGGGATCTGTGCCTATGACGTCACACTATGGCAACGCCACACAAACCATGTTGGGACCCATTATTTGTAAGAACTAAATTAATATCAGATTCTGCCAATAAAAGGGCTTTAAAACAATTCATATGTAAATATTTTGCATATTTAATGCAAAATCTCATTTTTCTGCTTTAGTGCTGCAACAAGGTTTTATTAATAATAAATTATTATACCTTTTGTTTTTGGGCGACGGTGGCACAGGAGTTAAGTGCTCGCCTCGCAATCGGAAGGTCGCAGGTTCGAGACCCGCTCAGTCTGTCGCTGTCGTTGTGTCCTTGGGCAAGACACTTAACCCACATTGCCTGCTGGTGGTGGTCGGAGGGACCGGTGGCGCCAGTGCTCGGCAGCCTCGCCTCCGTCAGTGCGCCCCAGGGCAGCTGTGGCTACATTGTAGCTCATCCCCACCAGTGTGTGGATGTGTGTGTGAATGGGTGAATGACTGATTGTGTTGTAAAGCGCCTTGGGGGGTTCCAGGACTCTAGAAGGCGCTATATCAAATACAGGCCATTTACCATTTACCATTTACTACAGCATCGGTAAGCTTCCTGTGCACAGATTATTAAGGATGCTTGTTTCAGCTGTGAGATTAGACGATAGGGTCAATGATAAAATAAGTTGTCACACACTCCATGGAAACTTTCAGAGAATCCACAAATAGTGGCTTTCAAACGGTTTTGTTACTTTTTACAAGTTTAGAAAAGCAGCAGATGAGACAGCATGTCTGATCATTTAGTTTTTCATCTGATAATATTAGAACATGTCAGTAATGTCTGAGGGGCTTTTACAAACACTGTATAACTAACACTACTGAAGAGGGTATGAATTACACAGAGGCTTCTGGGGAGCCCAGTTATTGGGGGGGGGGGGGGGGGGGGGTTGTTGCCTCGGCCCCCAAAATGTCTTGAAACGGCCCTGGGTGTGTGACTGAGTTTTGAAGGTGATCTGAATTATATCAGATGTATAAATATGACATGTGTATAACTTATTGTTTTATACAGGTAAAAACGTGTAGTGGAGATAAATCTACCTACATTTTACTTTTCAACACTTTGTTTTGTTTTCTTGTTTTTATTTAACTATTTTCCTGTCCTGTCTGTCTCTCATCTTCCTGCATCTCCTCTTAATTCTCCAGAAAATCTGTTGCCTGGATTCTTACCTTTTCACCTCATCAGTTACTTTTGAGCAGATCAAAGGGATTTCCTGACCACAAAGCTCAGAGCGCGTTTTCGATGCGTCAGTGAGGTGAAATCACCGCAGCACAGGTGATGAGCTCCGCAGTAGCGCGCTTCAGGCACAAATAAGACAGAAAATAGAGAACATGTGCAGACATGAACGATCGTGTGCTAATTACAGTTTTTTGGTTGCGCCACTTTGAGAATGGACCGTGCGCTGGAAGCAGCTGCCTGGATCGCTGCGCAACAATGCGCTGTGCCACTCTCTTTTCAAAAGAGTCCAAAAATTTTATAAATGATATAATATAGAAAACTTTTTTCCGGCTCCCCTGATGTGTAGGATATACAGCTCCCCCATTATTCGATCCCTGCTCCTGGATGAAAAGCCGGACATTTTCATCAATACAAGAGCCCGCAGTCCGGACGCCCGGACAGAGAGTGAAAAGTGGACACGTCCGGAGAAAACGGAACGTACGGTCACCATAGTCCTCATAAAGCGGGAAATTATAGATACAGTATTTTGCTCGTGCCCTGGGCCTTTTAGAGTTCGTGGGCCCTGGGCAATTGCCCAGTTAATCCGGCCTTGGGCGGAACCGGTTCGCAGCAGCGTCTGCCGGCTCTCCCTCTCGCTGATCTGCCGGTACCGGCTCTCCCTCGCGCTGATCTGCGGCTCTCCCTCGCGCTGATCTGCGGCTCTCCCTCGCGCTGATCTGCCGGCTCTCCCTCGCGCTGATCTGCGGCTCTCCCTCGCGCTGATCTTCCGGCTCTCCCTCGCGCTGATCTGACTTGAGCTGGTCTGGGAGAGTTGTGCGACACAACGAATCGATGACGCAATTCGTTGCCAACGCTTTTAGTAATCGATTTTCATCGAATTTATCGATTCCTTGTTGCAGCCCTAGTCAGAAGCATAATTTTGAAGTTTATCCTGAACTGCACGGGCAACCAGTGGAGAGATTTCAGAAATGGAGAAATGTGTTGTCTTCTGTCAGCTCCAGTCAGCAACCTAGCTGCTGAATTCTGGACCAGCTGAAGTCTAGAAAGAGCTGCTTTACTGATGCCGTATAAGCAGGAGTTAGAGTAATCCAGCCTTGAAGTGATGAAAGTGTGGACCACGGATTTCAGAAGACGGACATTCAGGATGTGCTTTAGTTTCGAGATGCGTCTTAGTTGGAAAAAACATGATTTAACTGAGTTATTGACCTGGGCATCCATCTTCAGAGCCTGGTCCATTTTTACTCCAAGGTTGGAGATTACAGAGGATACATTAGGTGAGAGATAGTTGAGGTCAGGTTGATGAGTAGCCGTGGTGCTGTAAGGACTGAAAACGATTAAGTCAGTTTTGGAGTCATTAAGATGGAGGAAGTTATCAGCTAGCCATTGCTTGACCTCAAGGATACAATCAGACAGAACTTTCGTTTATTGAGTTGGCTTAAATGAAAAGTAGATTTGTAGATGTGACAGTCGTCATTACCAAAGAGGCACAGATGTCTGATCCCCTTGTAGTTGGAACACACCCTGTGGTACCCCTTTTTAAATAGGGGGACCACCACTGTGGTCTTTCAAACCATTGGAACTGCCCCGATGTCCACGCGATATTGCAGAGCCAACACAGCCCTAAGACATCCAGAGCCTTAAGGAACTCTGGGCTGATCTCATCCAGCTCCGGAGCTTTGCCACCAAGGAGCTTTTTGACAACCTCAGTGACCTCGGCCCCAGAAATAGGACAGTCCAACTGTCCCCCCCCACACGTAGGCGAAGGGAGCCTACCCTCTCGTTCAACAGGGTAAACCCCAATGTACAGGCACCAAGATGGGGGGCAACTATTATGCCCACCTCTGCTCGGCGCTTCTCAGTGGAAGCAATTCCAGAGTGGTAGTGTCCAACCACTCTCAAGGCAGGGTATCCGCGGGTCCTTAAAAAGTCTTAAAAAGTCTTAAATTTGCTTTTCTAAATTTAAGGCCTTAAAAATCTTTAAAAATGACAAATAATCCTTAAATACAGTTTCCAAAGGTCTTAAATTACCAAAGACCCAATGAACAAGAATTTCTAGTGTTCAGCATTTTTTGTGTAAGATGTTGGCGTTAGTGGAACCGTACACATTCAGTTGGTTGTGAAAGGGGGCTATTTTTAGATGAGTTAAACTACTGGGAGCTTGCGCCATGGAGAAGTGCAAGTTTAATGGTAACTGGGTGGGTAATCTCACGTTTGCGACATGGTTAGCACCGGTTCCAGGCAATAGCTGGAAATTATAGCTTAAATTTAATTTTAAAAAATAGTTTAAATTTGGTCAAAGTGACCTTAAAAAAGGTCTTAAAAAGTCTTAAATTTGGCTCCCTTTAACCTGCAGTTACCCTGTCAAGGAAACTGGTTCCGGAGCCAGAGCCATGCGTTGAGGTGAGTCTGACTATATCTAGTTGGAACCTCTCAACCTAGCACATCAACTCAGTCTCCTTCCCCACCAGAGATGACATTCCACGTGCCAAGATGGGGAGACACAGTATACATCAGTATCATACATGGAGAGTCAGACAATATTGGTGTATGAAGTATCTGTAAAAAAGACAATATTGATTATCCCGACTTATGTTTATACACAAATATATGCTTAAATGTTAAGTTGCAAAAGCAAGATGCATACTCTTAACATCTGCATGTCCCAACCCACTTCAGCGTCCACTTTATAGAAACGTTAGTTGCAGTAATGCCTTTCTGCAGAACAAAGCTAGCTCTGAGCTACTGCTAGCTCTGGCCCAAGCACTCATGTTCCACTATGTATTGGAGCTCGTACTTCATCATTTATCAGCAAAACCATGCTGGACAGTCACTTTGTTATTGTTCTGTGTCCTTAAGTCCTCAGAAAGGTGCCTATGAATAAAATGCATCATTATTATTTTAATAATAATAATAGTAAAAATAATTGGTTTCCTTTATGTTTTCCAGGCCATTCTGACTGCTGAGAATTCTGATGAGCCGTACCTGGGTGGGATCAACTTTAGCTGTGTGGCTCCAGGAAAACGCTTCATGTCCATGGAAAACCTGTCTGGAGGAGAAAAAGCTATAGCTTCTCTCGCCCTGCTGTTTGCCATTCACAGGTAACTGCTGTCAGAACTGGACTAGATGACATCAGCAATGCTTCTTACTAGTTGCAGAGCTAGTCAAGGGAGATGATAATTTTGCAGATAACATAAAACAGTAAGGGACAACATTATATTTGTTGAATAAAGGCAGCTTGAGGTCTCTAATGTAGCATACCAGAAAGCCTGTGTCATCTGACCTGGTTTCTTATGTAAATTAGCTACATTGTTACAGGAAGGTAGAAGTGGTTTGTTTGGGAAAAAAGCTGATTTAACACTTCATAATAGTAGACACACCATCTTAAATCTGCACGTCTCAACCCACTTCAGTGTTAGTGATATAGAAATGGTGGTCATGGTAAAGCTAACCACATAACAATGCTAGGCTGTTGGTCGTGGCAATGGTAACCACAGGTTATTTATTTTTTTACAATTTTTTACTAAAACTGTAAGAAAAGAACAAAAAATGGATAACAAAGATAAACACAGAATGAACGTACAAAAGAGTTTCTCTAGAAAATTACAGAGTGTAAGCAACAAAGGACTTCCAATATTTTTGGAACAATTAAATGTAAAGCTAGCATGTCCAAGGAAACACCTTCACTTCAACTTAAGGTGCCGGGATGAGGACATAACATCAAAAAGCCCGCAGCTAAAAACACTGATCAAAACCAAGACAGCACAACAAATAATGGAAAGAACCAAAAACACTACTCAAAGAAAGGATAAGAAACATCATAACCAAACAGAAACAAGTGGAAAATGAACTGGAAAGAAGACTCCTGGACTTAAAAAAGATTTACAAACTTGATGATAAAACAGTAACAAACACAAGGACATATGATACAACAAAAAGAAAAAGAATTTTACAAAGTAAAAAAATAACACATGAACACATTAAACACTCATTGACAAGAAAAACGAAGAAAGAACAAAACTCCTGGGTATGTAACATTTCACAATGCAAACTAACAGAAACAGAAGAAAGCACATCAAAGAAAAGATAAAACTTTGCCATAACACCACTGAATATACCACATGAAGAATTCATCGTAGCAACAGAACTGGCATGCCAACAATTGACAGATGAAAGTAAAAAGCAGGGTTAAGAAATAATGTAGTTGGGATTTTAAAAAATGGCTAAACACAATGCAGCAACATCACAAAAGAGCAGCCATAACATCACTAACCAAAAACGAACACATCATCATTTTACCAGCAGATCAAAAAGAACCACAGTAATAATGGACTAAGAAAAATACTACAGGTGGAACAGATGCTAGACGACTGAAACACATACAAAACTTTAAAAAAGATCCAACAGAAGATATAAAAAAAAATACATGAAAAGATTTTTGAAACCATTGCAGGAAAAAGGCTAAATTACAGAAAAAATGTATAAACAATGGATTCAAACAGAAAATATCATTCCAAGAATTTATGGAACCCCAAAAATGCATAAACAGAATACTCCAATTAGACCAATAGTTCACAGAATGGGAACACCGACATAACATGGCAAAAGAAATAAGCTAAATCATCAGCCCACTATTAGATAACACAAATCCAGACTGTAAATACAGCAAAGAATTGGCAAAATTACTTCCAAAGGATACAGTAAAAGACAACGACACACTGATCTCACATGATGTTACATCCCTGTTCACGAAAACACCAACCCAGACAACCAACAAAGTAGTTAACAAGATCAAACAAGGCAAAACTTAACATAAACAGACAAACCTCACAGCAGACAACATAGCATGATTAATAGAACTGGTAGCGAACTCCATTTACTTTATGTATAACAGAACCTTATACAAACAACTAGAAGGCTTCGCCTTGGTAAACCCACTATCAGCCACCCTTTGCGAATTCCTCATGGAAGACCTGGAACAGAAAGCCATAGCCACTAAACAAGACTAGAAACAGACATTAAAAACGACAGGTTAACAGTTTTATACTGTTTTCATGTGTCCTCACTGCAAATAGCTTTCAGAGTGCTAATGTTTTTGTCAATTAGTTTAGTGTAATGTGGCATTTATATTTTATTGAAAGCAAACAAATGCACCAGAAATTTGGATTTAAAAGGCATAAAACTTAGTTACAAGTAGATCCTAGCACATTCTGATTGTTAGTGTTAGCGATAGCATTAGTATCATGAGTTATTGAAAAATTGCACAATTCGCTATTTACCTAAGCAAAAACAAGACGATAATCATTTAACACTTCTTCGGATCTCTCAAAGGTTAACCAACCTGAAATAAAACAGCTATAGGCTTCCAGGCTTGTAAAAGGCTCTCTCTTGGTTTGCAGTGTAATATGAGTAAGGCAACACACTTCAGTGATGGGCAAATCTTCCAGTGCAGCAGTTCCCAAACTTATTTAGCCGCACACCCCCTTCTATGTCCCGACCATGTCGACGCAGCCCCCAGCCCCACATCAGGGCATGGCTATATATATATATATATATATATATATATATATATATATATATAATCAGACGTCACGCTAAACAGTCACTCGACAGACAGGGTTAAAAAAATATGATCGCCCTTTTTCCCCATCACTTTCATTTTTATGTTTATGTATTATGTATTTTTGAAGTAGTAATTAATAAACATTCAATACCATTACAATTTCCTTTGATGTAATTTTAAATCAATATTTAGAGTGCCCAGGTAGCACATAAACAATGTAATTTAACAGTTTTCTTAAAACAGGAACGTTTAACCTGTGCGGCCAGAGTTCTCTCCTTCCTTCTGCTCTGCGTAAACCTGAGCTGGTCACCTACTTGTGCGTAATCAAATGTCTATAGAGGAAAAGATGGAAAAGCTATAGCCATGAGGTTCACTTTTGCCTCAGACTGACTTATTGGTGTTTATGGTGTGGCTGAATCTGCGATCCGCTGCCACGCAAACTGGAATAACAAATGCTGCAGTAACATGAGTTGTGGTCAGGTTCATGAGGAGTCACTGGCTGGAGCGGACTCGAATTTACATCATCCCAAAATAGAAGCTAATATCTTAATTTGACGTTGAATTAAAAAGGTTATAAAACCTCTTAAAAGTTTTTTATCACGGAGGAGGCAGCGCTCATTTCTGCCTTCAGTCTGACGGCGCGCCGGAGTTTGCGCAGCGTGCGCTTATTGAATCTCTGTCTGTGTGTGTGTGTGCGTGCGTGTAAGGACAAGAATGTGTGTGTGTGTGTGTGTGAATGCTTTCAGGACATTCAGCTAATAGATTTGTTAATAGGACTAAAGTAATGAAATATAAATTTTCCACAACATAATCCCTCCTGTTTATCCGAATAGGATAGCCAAACAAAAAAACAACACACAAAGAACAAATAAAATAATAAAACACCATAAGGCAAACATGACTGACAATAACATCAAACAGCAGTTTACAGAGATACAAGTGAGATAATGGGAATCAGTTAAATCAACATCATCATAAACTTAAGAAGAGCTATTACATACATATTTAAGTGGATGTACTGTAATGCAACAATTCTACAATTTCTAGCAGTCCCTATAAAGAGGTTGGGAAGGTTTAGCAAAACCATGTAATATTCAAAAAACATCAGTAGAGTTTATTGAAACATCAGGTGAATTTAATTTAAAGCTTCAAGTTGCAGATGACTCTTTTTGTGAAGGAGGGAAAATGAACGTGTAATATTAATGTATGCAGCTCTAACTATGGCAGAAGCTGAGGCAAATCAATTGTTCTTCATCAAGGGCTTGTCCGTCGGCTGGGAGTCTCGGTTGGAGGATAGTTTGGATTGTCTTGCTTCAGCACCTTCATCAGAACCCAATTTCCTGGTTTCACGACCTGTCGGCAAAAAAAGCACAAGAAAATTCTGGGAGATCACTGTTGATTTTGAATTGTTTTCAGCAAAAATTCTTATCATCCAATATTTAATGTATTTCCATTCAGGCAGTGTAATAATGTGAGGAAATCGTTATCAGCCATCCCTCCTCTTGAGACATGAGAAAACTCATGGCTCACCAGAGTAAAAGAGGCACAAGAGACATAAACAAAACAGGTCCGATACCGGCAAGCATTGCACCAAACCGATGCAAAAGTTGGACCTCACATAACATGTTTCCCCTAAAAGCTAAAAATACCCATCCCAAAAAACTTGCAATTACCAGTTTACATCAGCAGGGGGCAGAGTTGTCCAGCACAGTATGCATAAAACAAAGCAAAATAAAACTAACAAAAAACCCACAATCAGTGTAAAGGAAATTGAAAATAAACATAAAAAGTGATTTACATCACCCATAAATAACAGGAGAAATATCTGTAGAAGAGCAGTTGCAGAAGATTGTAATCTAATGAAATCAAAAAAAGTTAACCCATCCGTGAAAAAGAAGGATGAGCTTTGTCAGAATCCACAAGCTCATATCACAAAATAGTAATGCCATAGACCACATATGTCAGAGTCAAGGCCCGCGGGCCAGATGCGGCCCGCAGAGCATTTTTATGTGGCCCGCGAGATAAATATCAAAAATATATTAAAACTGGCCCGCTGGCCGATTTCACCGCAAAGACTACAACTCCCATGATGCTTTGCGGCGTCAGCACGGAGCAGACGCGCCCCCTCCTTTGTGTTTTTTCAGCGCCGAGGCAGTCAGGGGTAGTTGGGTGTTTGCAGCTCCGCTGTCTCGGACGAACTACACTCCTCTCACTCAGCGCCGAGTTCACTCAGCTGTTTTCTGACGTTGACGCCCAGAAACGGAGATTCTAGCCGCTCAGTAATGTGTTCACGACTTAAAGAGGAAGTTTTCAAACTAACGTCCAGACAGAGCCGATATAACTCCAGCGAGCAGCGGCACGTTCAAACCAGCATGACTCTGTGGCTGCTGTCGTGTTTCCTCCCCGACACACAACAACGTGGTCAAGCTGCTCAGACATGTTCATCAGCTCCTGTTGTCATCTAATGTTGTCATTATTATGATGAAGATGAACAAAACAACAGGAGTCTCCTCCTCAGCTCAGATCAACCCCATGATG